TTCCATGCTTCTGTGTCTCTGGATCTATTTTGTTCATCAGTTTATTTTGCTCATTAGATTCCACATATGAGTGAGATCATGTGATACTTGTCTTTCAAGAAACTGTTTTTCATTATGGTAAATTTTAAGTGTCACACCAATTACAGTTAACCTGTAATTATCTACACTAGTTCATCATGTATCTGTCTACTTTCCATGAACCAAATGCAAAGAAATGTGTACAAAGTTAGGCAGGAAAAAGAAGATGCAATTATAACATTGGCACCTATAAGCATCTCAGATGAAGATCTCATGATAAACCCTAAAAATTAATTTATTAGTTTTTTATTTAAAAATTTAATTTATTGTATTTTTTTTTTTTAATCTTCACTGGAGGACATGCTTAGAGAAAGGTAAGGAGGGAGAGAGGGGGAGAGGGAGAAGGAGAAGGAAGGGGAGGGAGGGAGAAACATCAATTGGTTGGATCAAACCCGAAAACCCAGGTATGTGACCTGACTGGAAAGGGAACCGGCAACCTTTCAGTGCACAGGGCAACACAACTAAGTGAGCCACTCCAGCAAGATTGTATCTGCACTTTTCTCTCCATTAAAATAAGCAGAAATTATCATACATTGTTTTTTAACCTAGCTTAGGTATACTCTGACTTGAAATTTATGGAAAAAAAAGATACTTTAAAAACTTGTAAAGTTATAGTGTTTTCTTCTCTGCTATGGGAAGCTAAATTTATTGATTCCAACTGAAAATTAACTGAAATATAGGAATACGGTGGTCTTAAACTTAATTAAGTTATTCTAATTCTCTCCAAGAAGTTCTCATTTTAAACAAGCAGCAGCAGGGACACGCAGAGCAGCGGCCCCCGCAGCAGTTGGGCCTCTCCTCCGCGCCCCGCGCTGCGCCGCTGCCAGATGCCCTCTAGCTCCTTCCTCGTCCGCACACTTTCCCTCAGAAACAGGCCCCGTCGTCTCCCGGCCGCCGAGCACATGGGCAAAGCGCTCCTATCGTATGACGACAGCGGAGATTGAGAAACCCACCTACACATATATGCACAGCCCATGGACACAGACAACAGCGTGGCGAGGGCCTGGGGGGGGTCAATGGGTTAAAAAGGGGGAACATCTGTAATACTTTCAACAATAAAGATAAGTTAAAACAACATCTACCTCCATACCCTCCCACGCATCCGGGTGCCTTCTTTTCTCCTGAGCTCCAGAATCTTACTTGTGGACCAGGGACATTTCCAAATAGATGAGCCCACAGACACTTCCAAAGCAGGTTTCCTTCCTCCTCGTGTATTTTCAGTCTTACAGGTAGCACCAACCTTCCAGCCTCTTTATCCAAATAATCCTCTGTTCCTCCCTCCCTCAGTCCACACATCCATTACAATACCTATAATTGTTAAAATATTCTTCGCACACATTTTTTACTCTCCATTCCAATTTCCATTCCTCACTTCTCACTTTGATGACTGCAACAGCCTCCTAACTGGGATCCTTTCTTACCTCAGGTGTGGCCACCATTAAGTCCATTCTTTGCATCGTGTCAAAGATAGTTTTTCTAACAAATCTAGTAACACAATTTCCCTGCCAAAAATGTATAGTGCTTCTTATAAAATTATAGCAAGTCCAGACATCATAACATCTATGTGAGGCCCTTCACAACCTGTCCCTAAACCGTAATTCCCGTTTCAACACTCCCTGTAACTTTAAATTTCCTCTTATCCACTCTACCCAAGGAACACAAGCTCCAGTCACAAGTAACTTTATGCTCTTTTCCAAATACCCAGTGTCTTTTCCAACCTCTCTACCTTTGAAACCCATTTCTTCTGCTCACAGACTCTTCTCCTCCTTTAAAGGCCCAATTCTGGTACCACATCTACTACCGTCCCCACAGTTTGATCACAGTGCTCCAATTCCACACCCTAGAACCCATGACTGTCTACTGTGAACTGTCATATGGTTAAGTAAACTGAAGTATGGTCTTCTTTTTGACTAGGATCCCGGAAAGGCAGAATTTGTCATTCATCTTGGTATCACCCATGTTTTAGGTGATGTCAAATACAAAATAGTTGTTCATTGGATACCTGATTCAGTAAGGGAAAAATAAGTCATAGGAGATATTAGTATTTTCTAGATATACATATGTTTGTGCATATGTACACATATATATAGGGTGTCCCCAAAAAATGTATAGACACTTTAACAGCTGATAACTCAATTTTCACTCCTTTTCATTTAAAATTAATGGGTGACGCCAGACTAAGCTTGGAACAAAGAAAATTTATCCTAAAGTACCACTAGACCTTTTTTTTTTATGGGAAACATAAGTGATAAAAATTACTATACAAAACCGGCAACAGTCAATGAACTGAGGGTGCACAAATACGGGACGAAATGATTCTTGATGTTTGCGATTCCATTGCTTCACGTTATCAGCAATGTCTGGACCAGAACCATCATCAGTTTAAAAATAGGCATTGACAAAAATAATTATTCATTTCTGCAGATTTTTTTAAACTTTGAAAATGAACTGTATTTTAATAAACACTGACTTTATAATCATCCAAAGTGCATATGCCTTTTTTTGGAACACCCTGTATTAACATTACCTAATTTTTTCTAACAACACCCTGAATACTTAAACTGATAATGTATTCTAACCTACAAAATTTCAGAGTATAATAAAATAGGAACTAACCTATTACAGTCAGTAACAGCATTGTGATGTAAAGTCAGTCAACCAAACAGAAGTGATTTCACTGTAATTCTGGTATAGCCTAAGGACAAACTTTTCTCTTTAAAAAATTTATTGATTTTGAGAGAGAGAGAGGAAGACATCAATGTATTGTTCCACTTATTTGTGTACTCATTGGTTGCTTCTTGTAATGTCCCCTAACGGGAGATCAAACCCGCAACCTTGGCATATCAGGACTGCTCTCTAACTAACTGAGCTGCCTGGCCAGGGGCAAACTTTTCTGTTTTTAGAAATGAAAATAAATATTTTAACTTTCACTAATAAAATTATGAGTAAATATTTCATTACTGACTTATAGTATTCTGAAAAGAAAGCAAAGAGCACATTTATATTTATATGCTTTTTGAATAAAAGTATTATAAAGTTTGATATAATTTCAAATTATATGGTAAAGCTTTTTTAAAGATTAAACTTCTGACTTTTTTTCCTAATAAATATGTCTCCTTAGGAAACCAAGCTCTAAATTAGGTAAGCAGAGCCATCAAAAAGCAAATGCTATGTTATTGACAGAGAAGTTTAATGAGTTATAATACAGATATCTCTATATATTATCCTTTTGCATTCTGGAAATATTTCATTGAAAGAATTTGGGCTGATGGTCTAAGATCAGAACTTCTGCCTGGGTATAAGGCAGTTCTCTACTCCCAACGGCCCTTTCTCTAGTTTTCCAGTTGTGGAGTTCTAATGCCTATGTTAATTTCATCCAAAGAAAATTATTTTCTTGAGGCAATAAAGCCTTCAGTTCAGTAACTTTCTATTTAACTGGACTTTATTTGGTACACTTGATTGGTCTCTGATCCTACAATTGTGTTGATCTTTACTTCATTTTAATATTCAGCAGCTTGGTGTCTTATTAGAAGCAGAGAAAGAACAATTATATGATATCATTGAGTATATTGAGTAGATACGTATAAGACAAGGCAGTTTTTAAGCACTGTAACTATAATGGCCATTTAATTTAAATTGCTGTAAAGCCTTTCCCTTTCTATCACTGTTTACAGAAATATATAACGGATAAACACAAGCTTTGATTATTTTACCTCTGCATTCTATGGTAACATCAATTCAAATTATTTAGAGGCAAAGGCACTTAAGAAAAAAAAACTTAAATTAAAAAAAATGATGAGTGTGTAATGAAAAAGGATGGCTGTGGATTTTAAAGGCTTCCAAAAATAAAAGTTTGCTGAAGTAATGAGGTAATGAGGTAAAGAAAAGTGAATGTAATAGGTACAGATATTTGAAAACTGATCCTTTTGCATTACCATTATGACGTGTTTCACCAAGAGGCTCAAGTTTTGGAAGTCTAGTGACTTTGGGGGTTCCCCAGCCAACTAAAGAAAAAGAAAAACATTTAAAACACTGTTAAACAATGTCTCTTTAGGTTGGTTGAGAGGATCCCTCCCTAGACAGGAATGTATATAACATTTGATGTCAATTCCTATTTACTGAATGACAATACTGAATAGGTATGAACCCATTTTAAATGACTTTGATTTTAAAATGTCATGGTAGGCTGGTAACATTTGCTTTAAATTTTTACTTACCTTTAGTTAAAAATATAAGCATCTTCACCACTACCATAAATAACCTTAGGCAATTGTTGTAAACCCTAGCAGAGGATACAAGAAATGTTCCCTTATGAAATGGAATACTAGAAAAGAGTCTTCAATGAATTCTCAAAGGAAAATGTTACCATCTAAAGCCTTCTGGCTGGGCTAAAAGGACACTATAAACATAGACATTGAGACATTTACCGAGCACCTGTAGCATATGAGGTACTATGCCTAGTGCTGAAAAGTTACTTACAATTATTATGCAGTAACACGTCCCAGGGCTTTACATGCAGTATTCCATTTAATCCTCGTAACAATTTAGGAGGTCGGTATGTATGTTGGAAATATAATGGAAAAACTCACATATCTTGGTTTCAAATGTTAACTTTCAGGATGAAAGATGAAATTTTTTAAAAGCTCGTATTAGCCATCCATTCATTAAACTTAAATTCCTTTTAGCAATCTATGCACTGATATTTAAATAAGATTTGCATTCATTCTAGGAAGTGCCTGGGTAAGGTTTTCTTATTAATTTTTTCTTATCTTTTACCTTTATAAAACATTTTTATGGTTAAAAAACAGATCCTTATGTTGATAAAGTATGAACAAAATAGAGCAAAGAAATCTACCTTTTTCAGAAATTCACAAGCTAATGAATATACTGAGTGAAAACTGCTCACTTTCTCTTTCTTCATTGTTTAAAGTAGTATTTCTAAATTCAGGATCGGTATCAAATCACTCACCAGGCGGCGGCGGCGGGGGTGGCGTTGGGCTCTTAGGAGCTGTGTCATCGGTATTGACAGGTTCTACTCGGTGACTCCTTTTTATTCTTAATTTCTTAGTTTTCTTTTTATTGTTATCTACAAGAATATAAACATGGCACTCAGAAAAAATTAAACTTCTGTAATAAAAATTAAGAGAACTAGAATGTTGATATTATTATTCCCATAGAAATATATCTTCAAGTTTGAAATTACCAGTAACGAAATGTGAACTTGTTATTGCTAAGAATTAAATTTTTAAATGATTGCTTATTGAGTGATTAACAAATATGATACAAACAACAAAAAGCCTATATTCTAAATTCAATGAAAGGTTATTCGGAATACAAAGAAAGTACAAAGAAAGTTCATGTTTCCAAAAGTAACTTAGATTTTTGCCAAATGTCATATTAAGTAAATACAATTGTCTAATTGCAAGGATTTCCATAAACTCAGAATGGCCTGGGGAAAGAGGCATGGTGTTGGCTTGGCTAACTAGGATGTGCGTGCGTGCGTGTGTGTGTGTGTGTGTGTATTCTTAGATATAAATAATCCAAAGATAATTCTTTACCCATTAAAATAACTCCCACATCTGTAATATTTTAAAAAGATAAAATTAAAAAATAACCCCCAAATAAGGCATCCCCAATATAAATACAGAGTGGGGCAAAAGTAGGTTTACAGTTGTGAGTACGCTAAACAATTTATTATTATGTTATTATGTATTAATTATTGTATTATTTTCCATATGAACAACTGTAAACCTTCCCTTGCCCCACCCTGTATATAACCAAAACTCACATTATATCTTGCAGAATTGAATTTGTGTTCTTTCAAAAAATAACTATTTACAGATTCTCACTTAAGCACATAACATTTTAAGGCATAGTAGTTTAAATAACTAAACAAAAGTTACTGAAATATTTTCAGTGACAATCCCAAACTAACTTTATATACTATGCAATACATTTCCTAAAATGGGAATTATCTGCTACTTAAGAAATAGTCAATATCTATGAAACCTACAAAGTAATGAGAAATACAACCATATTTAGAAACACGTTATTTTCTAAACCAATTAGTGTCATTTGACACATTTTACTCCCGACAGAAACAAAGACACCTTTTTATAACTAGGACTGTGAGCTTTACAGCTGGGAGAAAGGGAAGAGCCTCCAGAATAATGTGGTACTTCAGAATGGGCAGTAGCTCGAGGTTATGGAAGAGCACAAAAGACAGAGCAGGTGATGAGGTAGGGTTTCAGCCCAGCCAAAAACAAGGTGTATGATCTTAAAGAAGTTACTCACCCTCTCCAAGTCCCTGGTTTCCTATTCTACATAAAGGGAATAATATACCCTACAGTAGCTGTTAAATGACATAATACTGTGTTAACCCTTTGCGGTCGTATTAAATTTGGACATGGGTGTCGTACTGGTCGGAATTAATTTCCATTGAAAGAGCAGTGATACATAACATACAAGATCATGAAGGATAAACAAGAGAAATTATGAACTGATACACGAATGAATAGAGTTAAGATTCGTACGGTTCCTTGCTGTGGTGGCTGAGAGCAGACATACGACCGCAAAGGGCATCTGAAACCATGCTCTAAATTGTGAAAGATAATGTTAATTTTTAAATAATTATTATTATACTTAAATGATTCACTATCTTAGATCTTCCTACGCTTTATTTTCAAATATCTGTCAAATCACTTTGCTCTTTAACAATGTACTTGTGTTAGAAAGAGTTCTTTCAATATTTTGAAAGGCTACTTTAAGTCTAACTTTCTGCTTAACTCTGCTAACAGAGCTATATAGGTACAAATATGACTGCCCTAACTTCCCAACTTACAAAAAGTATAACTTTCGAATCTAATTATTTTTTTATACAGCAAAATATCTGTTAGCGAATCTGCACCTTGAGGATTGAGATCTTATTTTCACACTGGATAAAAATTTTGACACTGTATAAAAATTCTTATATACAATGGAACCATACTGCTGACAAGAAATGGCAAGGAACTAATAATTATTCGGAAGCTTCCATGTGTCAGGCCCATGCTAAAACACTGTAGAGTTATTTTTATTACAAGTAACCCTAAAGTCCCTGTAAAAAATGATGCTTGCTTCCAATTTAGAGATGAAGAAGATTGTAGAACATCGCAGAGCACAGCATGTATCTAGTAGAGGAAAAGTCAGGGTTCTACCCCAGGCTGTTTGATTCCAGACACAGCCTGTATCCTTATGATGCCAAAACACATGAACTTCCTGTTAAATTACATAACTACTTAGAAAAAAGTAATTATGCCCGGACGGGCGTGCCTCAGCGGTTGAACGT